GAAAGCGGGTGCCAGGCTGCCTCCTCCTTCACAGGGCCCCAGTGACACATGTGCTAGTGGCACACGCGCGTCCTGGCTCCGACGGCAACATGCCACCAGCAGCCTCAGACAGGCCAAAAAAACCCAAAATCCAGCGCTGGGGGAGCTGCTCCCTGGTTCCGAGCACAGCTCTCCTGCAAGGCTCTGGACAAGGCATTTTCGCGCCTCAGTTTCCGGCTGCCTCCTCCTTCACAGGGCCCCAGTGACACATGTGCTAGTGGCACACGCGCGTCCTGGCTCCGACGGCAACATGCCACCAGCAGCCTCAGACAGGCCAAAAAAACCCAAAATCCAGCGCTGGGGGAGCTGCTCCCTGGTTCCGAGCACAGCTCTCCTGCAAGGCTCTGGACAAGGCATTTTCGCGCCTCAGTTTCCCTCTTTGCAACACAAAACGAATGAAACCAGCCTCCCACAAAGCCCTGTGAGCCAGCCAGTGCTGTCTGTGAGCGGATGCTGCTGGCTGCCTGCAGACTCAGGAAGGCAGAACTGCAAGCAAAACTCCCTCCTCGTTCTTATCGTAACCGATGTCGCCCCCCAGGGTGACACCGGCGTCTCGCAGGGGCTACGCGGGGACGACCGAGGGCAGCTGGCTGCGCTCACTCTTCGTGCACAAGGTGGATCCCCGCAAGGATGCTCACTCCAACCTCCTGGCCAAGAAGGAGACCAGCAACCTCTACAAGATCCAGTGTGAGAGGCGCCGGGGGCAGGCAGGGCCAGGGGCACCTCGGCACAGCTCCGCGGCACCTCCGCACCCCGTTATTTGGCCGTTTGCCCCATTTCTGTCCCCAGCTCAGTGGCTGCTCTCCACTTGGGGCAGCTCCTCCCCGGGCCTCAGCTCCTGCTCTCACCCTCTCGCCCTCTCTCCCACAGTTCACAACGTGAAGCCCGAGTGTCTGGACACCTACAACAGCCTGACGTGAGCCTCCCGTGTGGGTCAGGGTCACCCAGCGTCCCTGCAGGGAGCACCCAGGGGGCTACTGAGGCTGGTGCAGGGCTGGGGGAGCTCACACCGAGCTGCTTCAGGAGCCCCCGGCAGGTTTCTTATTCTGGGCCTCAGTTTTCCTTCCTGTGAAATGGGTGCAGGGAGCTTCCCGCAGGGGTGAGGCCAGGTTGCGTTGGGATGCAGCCCCTGGCTGCCGCCCGCCATCTCCTGGGCGTCCCCCCGGGCACAAGGGTCCGCCGCCATC